CTATATTTGGAATTCCGTTTCAACATAAGTCGATTCTAGATCCACAATAATTCCATTCCGACGTACGACATATATATTAAAAAGGAAGGTCTGATAGATTTTCCTAATGTCTGGCGCGTGAAAATCGGGACTTTCTTTGTGGGATGTAAAATTTCCTATTTAAATCTTATAAAATAGATTCGGCTTCTACCAATACTATAATAATCCTCTTGAATTTTATAGAGTTATGCATATAATTATCAATGAGATTTTGACAAAATTTATGTTAACACTGACCAGCTTATCTGAATTGCTCAATGAGCAGCTTTAGCTAAATTTTGAATGACTTTGTACAAAGTTTATTATAACTGTTCTAAATTTAGAATAAACAATAAAATTGCCCCAGACCGAATAGATTTCGCCGATATCGGTAATTTATTGATTCCAAATTCGTAACTTACATTCTGATGCATTCCTTACCCGAAAATTTTTGTTGCTATTCCCCGCACTGATCTCATTCGATGCTAATCAATAATGTAAAAACCATAAAATGATACACGTTAAAAACTACACCAATTTTTTTTTTTTAACTCGTCCACCACCTAATTCTAAATACTCTTTACTAATTGTCCAATATGTATTTCTCTAAAATTATCTCCATTTTTATTATTTGCTCAGTAACTTTGGTTGAATCGTTCAACTGTCCTTTTACTCCAAACTCTCATGAAGCACCTCAAACATTCATTATTCAGCTCTCCTCAACAGCCTCAAGAGATGCAATAAAGAATCACTATGCAATGTTAACATCTTGTTTTGCTAAAACCATTAGTGATGATTCCACTATTCAATTAAATCATCCTAGCATTATTAAAGATATCAGCTTTGGGTCGTTCAATTGTTACATCGGAAAGTTTGGTCCTAGTGATGCTGCTAAATTGGCTAAATTATCCGAGGTTATTAATGTCGAAAAGGATAAAAAATATAAAATTGATTCAAAGCGAATTTCCACTAAAGTTCCTCCTAAAACTCCTCCTACCATTCCTACCGTAACTCTTATTATTACTCAAGCTCTTTGTTTTATCTGAAATAACCAGAATAAACAACGTTAATGTCACTTTATCTAATTTTTTTAGAATTTGGATCGTATTGACCAACAACACCGTCCATTGGATGGAAAATATACTTTTCCTAGAAGCGCTGGTTCCAATGTGAATGTTTATATTATTGATACGTAAGTTATTAGTTGCTACGCTAATTAAAATAAAAAAAAATATATAAGAATAGTTATTTATTTATATATTAAATGCTATTTCCCATATACAGAGGTATTAATGTAAAGCATGAAGAATTTGGAGGACGGGCAATATTCGGTCCTGTTCTCTGTAAAGGATGTCAGCATAAAGATGACAATGGGTATCCATTTTTGCTTTCTACTTATAATAAATAATTTAATGATTTAATTATATATATATTTTTTTTTAAAGCCACGGATCAAATGTCGCAGGGATTGTACGTATTACAAATTTCATTTGTAAACCTTAATATCATAATGATCAAATTATAATGTTTCAGTTTTGATCTTATGATTTTACATATCACTGCCAAATACTTATCTTTATAATTTTCTAACAAACTTAAATTATATTAATAGGTTGGAGGTATTCTAAGTTATCAGTAAAATATTATTGTAAAAAATTTCTTAATACTTGACTTTGAATTTGAAATTATT